GCACGTGAAGGAATATCCACTCCAACTATGAGCTCATCTGAGCGTTTGTTAACAACCTTAATACTCCTTCCCATACCATTTCTGTGCAGAACTTTCCGCATGAGCTTCACCATTGGAAGGTAAGACTCGCATGCAGTTACCATCCCCTTGCTACTACCAAGAGAAGCTGTTGAGTCACTCAACCCCATTGCTCTTGCCGCCATCATTGACAGAAACCCAGTTCCCGCACTGCAATAACAATTTGGAAAAAAATGAAACAAAAAGAAAAAAAAAGAGCAAGAAGCATAACTGAATTGAATTACAATGGAATCACCCAATATCAAGAACGTGGCAAGGTTTTGTTACAGTCTTCTCGATGGCCAACCGGTAGGCTCTGTTCCGGGGAGAGTCATTGAGCATGTCGAGATACGACGTCCTAGCTAGAAGAGGCTCCTTGAAACTTTCCGGACCTTCCTCGTTGTCGTCGATGACGACCCACTCCGAGTTCCCGGTGAGTGGGTCGAGTCTGAGTTGGAAGACCCGCTGAGCCGACTCAGAACTCATGAATCTAGTTGCGGTGGCCCTGTTGAAGTTAGGAAGTGAGTTAGGGATCGAAGTGAAGTGAGTTTTGGAGCGAAGAGAGACGGAGGGAATTAGGGTTTTGGAGATCAAAGAATTCATCTGAGTTTGAGCGGAAGTAGGGAGACAGGGCATGACATGGAATTCCTCTTCAACCAGCTAAACGTCGTCGTTGCAGAACATTGTTTCAGCAGGGAAGGTATTAAACCCTTCAAGAAAATGGCGATTAGGGATTGGTCCTTCCTAGGTTGGGGGGAAATGGCGGGAGCGCCGCCGCCGCCCCCGTCGCCATGCGTCTTCTGTCAGATTGCTGGCAAATCCAGCTCCACTCCTCTTCTTCACTCTGTCTGTTTCTCTCTCTCATTCGCTTGCTTGCTCCATCTTTCTGTGTTCATTTCCTACGCTCTCTAACCTCTGATTGGTGCCGAGAAAGTTCTAATCCAAATGGGTACTTTCTTCGATACCAGATTCTAATCAAGTTTCAATTTTGGTTATATCCCCGATTCCATCCCTCAACTTTCATTTTTGAACTAAAACTACCCTCGAACTTTAAAAAGTACTAAAAAAATCCTTAAACTTCAATTTTTGGGACCAATTTCATCCTTCCGTCAGTTAAATGCTGATATGGCAACATTTCCCGTTAACAAATTCAATTTTTATTAATATTAAATATTACCTGAAAATAAAATAAGTGACGTGGTATTTTTAATTATAAAAATATTAAGACTGAACACCAAAAATATAATTTAATAAATAAATTTTTTTTTTTTTCTCTTTCCTTTCCTTTCTTTTTCTCCTTCTCTTTCCTTTTCTCCTTCCCCTCCCCTACTGGGTTCGAAGGAACCCAGCACCAACGCCTGGGTTCCTCAAACCCAGGCGCTGGTCGAGGCACCAGGCGTGCTAGGTTCGAGGAACCCAGGCTTGGGTTCCTTCGAACCCAGCACGCCTGGGTTCGATGGAACCCAGGCGCGGGTTCCTCGAACCCAGGCCCTGGGTTTGGCTCTGGCCGCAGATGCTCCGGCTCCGACCCCGACGGCTGGTGCTGGCTCGTTGTCGCCGTCATTTGTCTCGGCTGTCTTTGCCGTCGTCGTTGCTTTGCTTCTCGGCTCCTCGCTCCGGATCTGAGCTGAGATTGCTTGCTGGCGGTCGTATGCCATTTGCTGATTGTGGATTCATCGGTATCTTGTTGAGCGGTCTGTTTGTTTTCCATTTTATTACCATATTGATATAGTAGTAAATCTAGAGGCTTCACGAACGTTCCTTGAACCCAGGCGTTGGGTTCCGAACCCAACGCCTGGGTTTGAGTCGAACTCGCCTGGGTTTTTTTGTTCTGTTTCTTTGTTGGCTTGCAGTCATGCTTGGGATTTAGAGTTTTGTGTGGTTTCTGATTGCTTGAATTTCCAGATTTAGTTACTGTTGATGTTGATTGAAGGAATGTGGTGTTTTTTTCATTTTTCTTTGCAGATCTGGTATACATTTGTAGAGGAATTGATTTTTTGAATAAGATTTATTGAGTTCTATTAGGGAGGAGGTTTGGGGAAGAAGTAGATGGTGATTGGAGTGGTAATAGATGATCGGAGTAATGAGGGATGACCGGAGTAATGAGGGATGATCGGAGTAATGAGGGATGACGTGGACTAGTTATTTTCCACGTAATTAAAGATTTCAAACAAGAATTGATTTTGTGGCAACTTAACCTGCTATCTGTCATTTCCGTCGATGGAAGGACGAAATTGGTCCCAAAAATTGAAGTTCAAGGATTTTTTTAGTACTTTTTGAAGTTCGAGGGTAGTTTTAGTTCAAAAATGAAAGTTGAGGGACTGAATCGGGGATATAACCTTCAATTTTTATTCTTATCAGGATGACAAGGTCGTCGCATTTCAAGACATCAAGCCTGCAGCTTTCAGGTCAATTATTGGCTTCAAATTGATGGTATATTGACTTAGTTCTGTGATCAATTACAAAAATGAGTATTTTGCAATTGCATGGATTAGGCATTACTTAGTGATTCCTGTAGAGCACATTCCAACTGTGAAGGATCTTCGGAGGAGAAGTGAAGACTACTCTTTGGGTAAAGTTGCACCTCTTCTGGTTTTTGCAATGTGGTCTGATTTCTACCATTTACTTTTCATTTTTCTTAGCCATGCTTACGTTTTGCTGTTTTTCTCCAGTACTTGATATGTTCAATGTGGGGCAAGCACTTCTAAGCAAAGATGCTTACATTTTGCTGTTTTTCTCCAGTACTTGATAGTATTGTTAACATTGTTTTGTCGTAGGTTTTGCATGGTATTTTTTTTTAACTCTCAAATCTCAATATGTATTTTTCTCTGATTGAAGTTGTTCTATCACTTTGTTTTACTTTCATCTGATATTTTGGTTAAGTACACTTTGATTTGTATCATAATAAATGAATTAAATGGTTAGTAAGGTGCACCTTCATCCTTGCATTAATGTTTCTTGGGCTTGGTGGCCAATAACACACTGAATCTCCAGTTAAGTTTTAAGGTATCTTTTTATGATTATGGAAACAAGGTTATGTTTTCCTGATTCTCCTCTTTTTGGCAGATTTGGCTTTCATCAACCTTCATTTAACAGTGTTAACCATCTCCATCTCCATTGTTTTGCTCTACCCTTCATACCTAGGTAGTCATTTTGCTGGTAGTCTATGCTTCTGCTTTTATTTTGTTTTATTTTCTATCTTGAAAATCGAACAAGGTTTCAAAGATTCCTGGTTTAATCCATCAAGAGTTTGAACAGATGGAAACATATAAAATATATATCTTTGGGGCCATTAGGTGGGTTTATTGAAGCCAAGAATTTGTTGGAGAAGATAAAACCATTGTCAACAAATACTTCTTAGGGATGAGTGCATGAATCGCTATTAACTTTTATTTTCTCGTAATTATCAATTCTTTTGTTGTTTGTAAGTTTTCTGATGATTAATTGATGTTATTCAAGATGAAACTGCTTTTGCAAATAAGGTTACTTAAAACTTTGTAACATGCATTTTGGGTAATAAGAATTGGGTATACAGTGTGTGCTTGTCTTCTACCTTACTCTATAAATTAACATCCTTGATCTAGACTCTGTTAGCATAATCAGCGTTTGCATCGGTATCACTGTGTCAGGTGGCACACTTAATGATCCATATTTCTGTATGGATATCCTTGGACTGATGTGGTTTAGATGTTAACACTACCAAGGTTTTCTTTTCTTTTCTTTCTTTTTTTCATTTTTGTTAAGCTTCACTCCACATTTGCCCCAGCCATGACAAGCTGGATGTCTCATGTGCATTATGTGAAAGCATATCACATTCCGGCATTCCCTTGTTTGATATACCAAATTGTGTAGTTTTTAATCTCTCTCTGGTTTTCAAACAGCAACTCAAATTCTGAGATGCAATAAACATGAATAATTGTTTATCTTCTTCTATGCTACTGATGCCATTGTACACAGACACAATAGGCTCACATGCATCTTGTGTAATGAGATTAATGCAGCTTGCAGAGCCTTTTTGAAGTGTTCTTGATGGTTCAATACAAGTCTAGGAGCTGGTGATAAGGTAGGGAGATGGTTGTCCAACTTTGGATTCTGGAGAATGGGACATTGGTATGCGAGGTTAGTAGTTACATGGTCAAACACTATCATAGCATTCAAGGGACCAAAGCTTGATCTGTTCTCTTGGGCCATTACTGATGAATGATAAATTAGCAGGTTTTTATTATTGCATGTGGGTCTGACTTTGCAAACTTGGACCACTGCATAATCTAGGCCTTCAATTTAAAACACATCAGCCTATTTTCTGCCCCATATTCTTTTAGCTGGAAAAAAAAATCCTAAAACTAAATTCCATTCCACCAAAATTAATAGGACAAAACCTCAGGCTACTAAAAGAGGTATATATACCTTCTCTTAGGTATAACAAATTAGAAAACAGATCATCCCAGCTGTTTTGGTGAATAGAAATCATTTTGAGAAAGCTTAATAAATTCACACAATTTAAGAAAAATACAAAACTCTTAATAGTGTCCATTCGCCTAGCTTTCAAAACAACTTTTCTATCATACAAGCTTCAGTTGGGTCAAAGGAGTTTTCTGTAGATGTGCTTATGGATTAAAACAAAAGGACTCTAGTCTGGTAGATGACCTATTTTTATTATTGGTTTACTCTTACTTACATGTTAAAATTTCACTGATCTGTCATCCGAGAATGATGTATTATGAAACCAGAGGAAAATTGTGATTTAAAGGGGAAAAGATGACAAAAGAAGCAGTTTGAATTTGACAGCTATATATGCTTTGCATATTATTAGCATTATTTTCGACAGTTTTTAGGATTAGAATACAATGTATCCAACAATCAAAATCTGGAAAGGCAATTCCCTTTAAAACTTTGTAAACTTAATGCTCCTTGTGTCTGTTGTTGTAGTTGAAAACAATTTAATTTGATGAACTCGAGAAGGATTGTTAATTTTAAAAAAGATTAACCTGTGAGGTAAAGGTTGAAAAAATTAAACTAAACTCTTTATTTGAATTTCATTTTTCTTTAATTAAATAAAATATGATATTTGATCAATTAATTGTAGATAGTTTGTTTGATATTATTGTAAATTTATTGAAGGAAAAACCATTTAAGCATAATACTTTGGTCTTCCATGGTGAATCAATTTGAGTAAATTAGATTTTTTTAATAACTCAAATTAGATTTTATTTTGAATAATGCATTAGTTAATTGATCTTCATAGACATTAACACCAATCAAATAAAATATACTTCATTTCTATTTTTGTAGCACATATTTTGAAATTGATATTAATAGTAATAATAATAAATAATAATACTAATAACAACTAACAATAATTAAATGAGAGTAACATGCATGTTTATCCAATTATTTGATACATAATAAACCAATATATTCATTATTATTTTTCGGTACATGTATATTAAATCAAAAGAAAGAAAGGGATGCGTCTTTTTGTTTTCTCTGTGTGAAAGATAAATTTACACAAACATACTAAGTATTTTTAATATTATATGTGTTATTATTAAATAGAAAGCTAAAATAAAATGACATACCCTATTTAATGCATATGGTAGCATCTTGTATATATCAACAAAGTATTTTAAAATAAAAGAAAAGATGTAACATAATTAGAGGAAAAAATTAATGATTAAAATCAAATACCTATTTATATTAAAAAAATCCAAACAACTATATCTTGCAACAAAATTTTAGATTTAAAAAAATCTTTAAAACAAAATAACAATGAAAAAAATTAGGGAGTTTAAATAACTGGCACTCATCTCTACATTTTCTTTTTGTTGGGCAATTTTATTTTTCATTTTTCTTCCTTTGATTGCCTATTCATCTACCACCTTCATCATTATTTATAATTTTTCATTTTTTTTCATTTATAATAATAATAATATAATTTTCATATATTTTTCACGGATAACATTTTATATAGATAGATATAGATGATCAGTTCTCTACATGCATCTTGAATCACAAAAGTATCTTTCACTGGGATAACAGCGTTGTATGTATTCACTTCCTGTCCTCGTAATAAAATTTCTAATTTAACTTAGCTGATCAAAAGAAGAAGGAAAAAATACAGTGCCTCTCTTCCTTGCAATTTCCGGTCCATTTGACCAGCACCGACACAGCTTACGCACGGTACTTCTCACGATCCTAAAATTTTTCAGAGGAAATTAACCAAATTATTACGACTTTCTTTTATCTCTATTTTATGTGAAGATTTTTCATTTTTCTCTTCCTTCTTTTTGTGCCACATTCAAGCAAGAGAAAAGTTATTCTTTTTAGCAGTTGATTCAAAGCCGCAAAGATCAATTGCTACAAAAGCCGGTTAACGGGGGTATGAGTTTCGAACTTTCTATTACCAAATTAAAGTGTTAATTGTCAATTAGGATCAATAAGGTATCCGGCCCGTATTCCTTTCTTGAATTCCTTTTTTTTTTTTTTTTTGGTTTCTGTTTTTCTATATACAGGTAATGGCAGATGAAATAAGGACCAGGGTTTGCACTCGCATAGAGGAGAAGCTGCAAGCACTTTCTTCAGCATTTTCGGAGCATACCATTTTTAGAGTGCCTCGCCTACTATATGAGGTGAATGAAAAAGCCTATGAACCACAAATCATCTCAATTGGTCCTTATCATCGTGGCAAAAATCACTTGAAGATGATGGAAGTGCACAAGGTTCGGTTCTTAGGAATGCTTCTTGGCCGA